CCATTCAGTTGTATGTCTAAAAATCTGAGCTTGAGCTTTTCAGCTTTGTAACCATACTGTTTTCAGTAAAACAGAGGCTAACCTTAAAATGTGTGAAAATCGTCCTGGAGCACCACGTACTGTAAGCGGTACTGTAGTGTGCCTGAGCAGCCTAGATCTTTACATAATGTGCCAATATGCATAGTACACACTGTCCAAAAGAAAGCACTGCTTAACGCTGATGTCAACATAAAGATACTTTATTGAAGACCAACAGGCAACATGGTGGTTGTCCGTGTCTAGCGGCCACTCATCTCAAACGCCTTTCGTCCTAACAGTCATAATCATAAAGATGTGGGCGGTCATAAGACAGATCCTTATAAAGACAAATCAACATTCTCACAGGTGGACACACTTAATACAATAGTTCTGTACATTGTGCAGATCGCATCCGTGAAAGGAGAAATACATTGCAACGTCTAAAATTCCAACAATCCTGTAATGTAAAGCAAAATAGCTCCTACGCAAAGCAGATTGCTCTTGGACGGCACCTACATTTTGTCCAGATGTAGGAGCTTGGAGTGGAGCAGTAAGGTTCCTCTTCATCATGTATACTATGAGTATGCATTGTATACTTGCACATTACGCAGACTTACATTATGACTTTCTCCAGTGCTCTGCGTTCCCTATCTTTGCCGCTGCCATCTTCATTTTCACTTCTTCTGACCCATCATCTTCACTTGTTGGCTGATGCGCAGCAATTGGTCATGAAACTTCTGTGCATGGGCACTAGCGTTATGTCTCAGCTCTATGCTCAGTTTCCTACAGACGTCAGGAGTAGATGGGTAGTTTACATTGCATTGTGCATGCACCACAGGCAAATAACAAAAAAAGAGAAATGCATGAGTCTCCTTGATTGGGTATAATTTGAATAAATTGTTCAGATAGCTCTGGCACTTCATAGTAGTGTAAAGTCTAATTATATTTTTTTAATTACTGTGTGCCTTTACTTGGGTGTTACCTTTATTAGATTGTGCCACGAGACAGTAATGCTTCTTACATTGAAGTTGAATGTGTCAATATATTATTTGAATTACTAATAACTATTTACTAATTTAGTAACCCTGCCTGAACATTTTTGGGGCACAGTAAAAGGAGACACTGTGTGTAATAGAGAGATATGAGGCACTGTTTGTAATATAAAGGTATGGGGCACTGCATGTAAAAGAAGTGTGATGTGACACTAATAGGCATGAGAAACTGCATGTGATAGGCATGAAGCACTATATGCAACAGCATAAGAAAAAGCATTTTGCTGGGGAGTGAGTTGTGTGTACTGTGCGGTAGGGGGTAAAATGCACTATTGACATAAATACTGGAGAGTGAGGTGTGTATTCAAGTCAAGCCAAAAAGTAACTGGAGGCATCTATACTGGGGTGTGTGCTGTAGTGGCTTAACAGGATCATAAAGTTTGACCTCTATGTACCTAGATAATTATACCCTCCACATAGAAACAAGGTTTCCAATGTATTATTAAAGCTGGGCTTGCATGAGTAGAATTTAGTGTGAAAACGTTTGTTCAAGTTCATTCTTTTTTATGTTAGTTGATGTCTACAGAGGGATTTATGTTTTCCAAAAAATGGAAGAAGAATGGAATGGAAGGTTGTAAAATTGTAATTTCTCATGAAAACAAATTTCTACCCGTGAGTGTGATATTTGCAAGGGAAAAAAACGATGTTGTGGTAATATGTATGCAGCAAGAAAAGTTTCATCTGGAAATAGACTGTTAGCTTTTGTGGATTATTTTCTGCCAATAGCTCAATGTGGAAGAATTTGTAGCGATTCTTCAGCGATTCCTTGGTCCCAATATGTTGCTTTTCGTTTTTCTTCTGTTGCTTCTGCATTGCCAACACTCCTACCATCATCACAGTTTTGGTAGAATTCGGGGTTACATCCATGAGTTCCATTTTGCTATGCACAATATGGCTGCCACAATGAACCAATGAACAACTGTTGCCTGCAAGAAGGACTGTTCCAATAAGTACAGTAGCAAGAGGGAGCAGCATAAAGAGCATCACATGCATAATTAAACATTACGTCACTTCCATACATTACTCAGATTGAAAATTAATTTATGAAACATTGGCATTACCATTGAGCGATATCTTTCAGAGCTTTCCAATAAAGTCTGTTGAATTAATTGATGGTGCGAATTTTAAAATTAGATTTTACCCATGTATGCACAGTTTAACACTGGGGTAAGCTTTATAAGGGTTTTTTTCATTAATATAAATGTTTTAATTAATTTTTTGACCGGATCTCTTTCACCTGTTAACCTAAACGCTGTAATAAAGACGCTATAAGTTTCCTATAATAGCTGTTGAAAGTAAATCGCATCAAGAGGGCAGTATTTTCAGCCAGTATTTTCAGCCAGTTAGACACGACCCATAGATTTTCCATCACATGTGCGCGAGGATCTCTACTGCGCATGTGCCCACCCCATCATCCTGCACGGCCGCTCATGAAGCTTAAGGGCTTGTTCACACCGAAAGCGATATCGAGAGCAATAGTTGCTGCAA